AGGTGACACTGCCAACCTTTTTTGTCACTGAGTATAGTCCTGACACTTCTGGACAACCTGATCCTTCAGTGAAAAATAGTATTGCCGTTTAATATCTATGAAATGAAGATAAATAGTAAGATTAGTACTAGGCATTTTTCTACCTTATATGTAGGTTTGTTCTTATTCATATTCCTGATGCTGGGTGGTCGACAGGAGAAACAACTGGTTCTGGCACGATGAGGTCAGAGTCTGATCGGTCCTTAACCTTGCTGATGAAGTATTCAGCATTCTTGAAAATTTTATCAACGTACTTTTCAAATCCTTACCAACCGTTTGCTTTCCACGTCTGCCCTACGGCAACACCGTACAGGGTGGCCAACGAAGAATGCGAGGTACTGTATCTGGGAACATATCCATCGCAGAGGCTTGCGGCAAAAATCCTGGTAAATATTTTCGAGTCTCTGAAATGACCTCTAGATGGCGTAACTGCAATCTTGAATCTGAAAAGTGATGTTTCTGCTATATTAACCCAACAAAAAAATACCCGATCTTTAAAGTTGAGGATAACGTGAACTTTTTTTGTTTGACAATTTTTGTTGTATCTATGTATAAAAATAATGCGGTGGAGAGTATTCAAATGTCTCCGTAAAAAACACCCTGTATCTTCGAAACGGCTGAGCTGAGCTGAACAAACTTGGGCTAGTTGAAAAGAGCTATGCTTGGACTACAAATGTTATAATATTTGAAGTTTTGTTAGTTTCACATGTGACCGCTATGGGCTTTTTTCGATATTCTTACAGAAATGGTTAATTTTCTCGAGAAGATTAAACGCTTTGGTATAATTTTTTTATGAAAAAAGATGTCTAAACAAGCATCTCGATATCTTGTTCCTAACCTAAAATTTAGGCCAAAAAATTTTTAAACGGAAGTCCCTTCAATTTTTATTTCTTTAAACTAATTGTTGTGGAATTCTTTTTCATTCATCAGAATAAAATGGCCCTTTTTGAAAATACTACAAAATATTGTTAAAAGGTCAGTCAGTCATGCTAACAGCAAAAGGCATATATACGGAAAAGACAATTGATAGAAGCAAGCCATCGAATATAACAAAACAAATACCTAATCAAAACATACATGATCTTCAAATTATCAATAGTTTCGCGTTATTTTGGGCAAGTTTTATGCTTACCAAATACGTATCATGAACGATGAAGCTGTTGATGTGCTACCGCAGTACTGGGATATATTGAAGGAAATCCTCATGTTAGCACAAGTTGAAATTTTGTCTACCCATGAGAGGCTTCAGGAATGCATTGAGCGTGATGGTCAGCATATCGAGCATTTACGGGGACATTAAAAACCATTCTTTTTTAAATCGATTCTTTTTAGGGCCGCAACTTGATAATAAATGGAAATTCCGGAAAAATCAGTTTAATAATAATAATAAAAATATAAGGGATTTCCGTCTAAAATTTTCTTTGGTCTAAATTTTAGGTTAGGAACAGGATATGGAGATGCAGTTTTCGCGAGCTTGTTTAGACATCACTTCGCAATTTTTAATAAAAAAACCATGCAAATGCATGTAATTTTTTGGAGAAAATGAACCATTTCTGTCGGAATGTCAAAAAGCTCTCTAGCGGCCACATGTGAAACCAACAAACCTTCAAATATTATAGCGTTTGTACCCCAAGAATAGTTCTTTTCAACTAGCCCACGTTTTTATTTAAAATCCTCCACGGCATATGTGTTGAGAAAAGCATCTGTATCTACAGGAAGGTCAGTAGACCTGTTCAACCAAAGCACATTTTTTTATTACTACCAACAATAGAGTGCGACAGGGTTCGTTTGTTCTTTCTTATTGTCATTTCCAGGTTTTTGCTTCCGGAAATCCGATGAAAAGCTTTCAGACATGCTTGCTTGGCCATTGTCAATGATCATTCCAGTCCATACGTTGTGATTCAGTCCCTAGCTTGGTAAGTTGTTGCAAAGGGGTTTCGACTGCTACCTTTATTACTTTTTTTATGACATATTTTTTATGGTAATGTGTTTTACTGTTTAGCATCACTGTCTGTTTGACATCCTTATCAACTGACTATTTGAAACAAAAAGGAACCGGGTAGCTCATCTTCTAGTGGTTGTCGCCATTTTGTACTATTCGTCATTATTCGTCAGAGCGGTCCGGTGGACCTTTGCTCTTAGTTAAAAGTCTCGTCAGTCTGTTAGTCTGTCAGGATTAAGGAGAAAATGGAAATAAGAAAAGAAAGGAAGGAAGAAATAGAGCAAAGAAAAGAAGTTACACATTTGAAATAGCTTAAGCATTATTGCTTAGACTAGTACTCGAATTGTTTTGTAACTCCAAAAAATAATTTTGATCGGTTTTGTATACTGAAATAATTTTGGCTGGTCTGAATTTACAATTTAATTTTGACCTCAGTGCGAGGCGCGGCCTGGTATGTTTGCGAACTTGCTCGACTGTGTAGTCTACTGAATCAGGCAACAGAGGGTTGCTGTGCGATTCCGCTTGATTATAACGCCACTGCGCCTGTTGTTTCACGTAATCCCTTAGATTTGGGATATCAAGATCTCTGTGAATAGTCTCATTTGACACGTACCAAGGGGCGTTAGTAATTCTGCGTAGGGTTGTTTTTTTTTGCCGTCTCTGCATGTGCGTCTTGGCAAGAAAACACCAAGCCAAGCATGAGTAGGTGATTGCAGGTCTTATGACCATTTTATACAACCGAATCTTGTTGATCAAACTTAATTTTGAATTTCTGCACAACAAAGGATAAAGCTGCCGAAAGGTAATTTGGAATTTTGTTTTCAAAATATCAGTATGTTTCTGCCAGGTCAACCCCTTGTCAATGATGACTCCAAGATACCTGACAGATTGCTCCCATGGTATACGAGTTCCATTCACTGATATCTCTGACTGGGCACCGCGACGTTTTTTAGTACAATAAATTGCCTGCGTTTTCGAAGTATTAATTTTGATCAACCACCGATCCGCCCACTCCGATACTTCCTCCACCGGACTCTGCAGCCTGTCGTAAACCAGGTTGCCAGGACAAGACTGGGCTAGCAATGCAGTGTCATCAGCATAGAAATAGACTTCACAGTTGCTGGGACAAGGGACGTCATGTATGTAAAGTGAATAAAGGATTGGTCCTAAGACAGATTCCTGTGGAACACCGGCTCTTACGGGCTGTGTTGTTGACAACACGTTGTTAATTTTGATCCGAAACTTCCTTCCTTCTAGAAAAGATTTCAACAGTTTTAGTAGGCAAAATGGAAAATTGGATGAGCTTATACAAGAGGTCCATGTGCCACACCTTGTCAAATGCCTTTGATACATCTAAAAGCAAGATACCAGTACTTTTGTTCAGGGTGCACCCCCTGGTTACATGCTCCACCAGTCTAACTGCCTGTAGCTCCGTACTATGCTCAGAACGAAATCCGAATTGCACGTCAGGAATCACATGGTGATCTGACGAGAAATTCTCAAGGTGACGATAAATCACCTTTTCAGCGAGCTTAGAGAATGAGTTCTGAGCATTGCATTGATTATTGCCATCAGATAAGTCAAAGCCTTGAGTGAAAGCAACTTCAGTGCTTTGTTGATGATTTGATCCTCTCCAGGTGCTTTACGCACCTTTAGGTCCTTAATGTGGCCTTGGAGCTCTGCTGGTGTGCAAAACGGCATCTCAGAGGATTCCGTTGATGTGCCAGATTCGTCGCTCTACGAATGTCATCGGATGACAAGACCTTTTTGCTTGTTTAATCGCAGCCCTCTTTTCAGAAATTTTCCGACGATAGTCAGCAGGGAGAAAAGGTCTGCCGTGTCGCTACACCGGAAGCACAGCAGCACGCTGTAGAGTTTGGTGAACGAAACTTGTCCACTCTGATTGAGCAGCATCAATTCCGTTCTCATCATGTATGACCGGGACGCTGGGAAACTCTTTGAGAAATGACTTCCCAATCAACTCTTTTCCTTGGAGGACTTTCCTCCTCTACGAACTGCCCATTACCTATCTCCAGAACAACCGGTAGATGGTCACTAGAGATATCATACAAGATCCTAGAAGCAATACTGAACCTACAATTTTTAGATATTGCAAAGTCTATAACATCCGGTGCCTGAAGGTGATTGAAAGGATGGTGTGTCGGCTCTTCGGTGCTGTGAAAAAGATACCCGTTTCGCATCAGATGGTTGTAAAGCCGAACCCCACGAGTAGAGTTAAGCCTTGAGTGCCATGATCGGTGTTTGCAGTTGTAGTCCCCTACCGCAATAAGAGGGCCCGAACAGTCCAGAAGTCCTCCTCTCGCAGCCTGGCACCGCACCTGACATACACCGAGGTGATCTTCAACGGAATCTCGGCGTTTGTGCTTCTGTGGTAGAGAATACCACGTTTAACGAGCACTGCCAAGCCACCACCCCTACCATTCAATCTGTCAGCTCGTATGACATCATAATTCGAGAAAGCTAAGCGATCTCCCGGATTAAGTAATGTTTCCTGCAGCAGAGCTACCTACGTCTATACTATCATCCAATAGAGAGTTTGATGAAATTCCCGTTTTTTGGGAATATCCCTTAGGCCCAGACAATTCCAAAAAAGAATTTTGATAAATGCATGTTGTCTATTGTAAAGATCGCCTGCAATGCCTGAGTGGCGCTAATCAGGGGACTTATTATTTGTGGAAGGGACCGAAGCGCAGTTGCTAGGTCCACATTCTGCGTGTTCGAAGTGGGTTGAACAGAGGGGGCAGCCGAAGATGTTAAGACGGCTGCCTCCGCGTATGACTTGGGTGAATCTGCAAGTGGGACTGTTAGCGGGATGCGCCCCTCCACAGTTCGCACACTTTCGCTCCTCTTGTCCTGTGAGGGGGCATAAATGTGTCATGTGGTCGGAAGCACATTTTAAACATTTGGGAGGTGCTGTGCAGTAAGACTGCGCATGACCATACTTTTGGCAGCGGTGACACAATAAGTCTAGAGTTCTTTTGAACTTCAACTCTGATTGCTAGACCCAGCAGCTCATGTTCATTGAACAGCTGCTGGAGTTTTCAATCTTGGGCAGTATCACGACCACCAAAGGCATGGGTGCGCCGCCACTGCGTTTGAGTCGTATAATGTGGGGAGGAGTATATCCCGTCTGTTCTAATTCCCTTTTGATCTCCTGTTCCGAAAACATTGCGGGTATGCCTCTGACTACCGCGTGAATATTTCGTTCTGAAGGAAGAGGGAACGTATGATGGGGCATGTCCTCCTCCCTGAACAGGCAAACGATTCTTCGGTAGTCATCCTCAGTTTTCGGCAAAATCCTGATTCCCGCATCAACGGCAATTGCGCGTTCTATCTTAATGCCTAAGCTTATAAAGGTGTAGTTTAGATGTCGCCACTTGTTCGCATCACGCAAAACAATGGGCGTGATTCGCCCCTGGCGGGGCGCTGTGCTGGTCAACCCACCAGCAACGTGAGATTGTTGAGATGCACAGTCAGTCGATGCAGTGGCCAAAGATTGAGAAGTTGTGGTCGCTGCATCGACCGTCATAGGACAAGTGGCAAAAGAAGTTGATACGTTTAATGAAGCAGAACGTAATGAGGGGACTGTCAACTTGAATTCTGATTTTGCTTTTGGAAGAGGTGGGAAGTCTTGTCGGTTTTGTTCGTTTTGTCGATGCGTCTTTTCCTAGACTTGGCCTGGATGAATCCGTCATTCTGTATTTCATCGACGGTCGATGTCACGTCAGTTAAATTTTCAAGAGGTCTTTTTAAATTGACAGGTTTGTCAGATTTATATTTAAAATTTGCATTATTGATTAACTGTGTTACCTGGGTGGTCAGGCAGTCTATTTTACTGTTTTGGTCCCTAACTGTCTCAGTCAGGTCCTTTATTTGCTGGGCCTGGCTTTCGATGATCAGGGTCTGGCGCTGGATGGTTCTGTCCTTTTCGTCTGCTACAGCCGGTGTCATCAATTCCTTTGATTTCATGGTCTCAGTCAGCTCCTTTATTTGCTGGGCCTGGCTTTCGATGATAACGGTCTGGCGCTGGATGGTTCTGTCCTTTTCGTCTGCTACAGCTGGTATCATCAGTTCCTTTGATTTCATGGTAATTTCTGTTCTTTCCTTCTGGCTGGGTCCATTCATCATCGGGAACGCTGGGGGATTATTACTTTGACCTCCAGAGTCTATCTCCATGTTTTTAAATCGGATTTTCTATAGAAAAACTTGAAAACTTTCACGAGCAAAAATATGACGTATTGTCAATTATCCCTTATACAGGGCGAATCGCCATTTTGTATGTAGGCTATCCGACCGAAACATTAGTCATTCTTCAAATTTGTATATATAGTTTCATTTGGCGGTTGGTAAACATGGACCTCTCTGATACATACTTCGACATTTGGTAAAAATATAAATTTAAGGTAGTAATACATTTTAAGGATCCGATGCCATATTGGATTAGTCATATTGAATTTCTGTTTTTTGGCAGCAGATTTGATATCAGCGACATCAAAAACCCTTCTGTACCAAATTTCGTGAGAATGCTACAGAAGATGTATTTTTTGCCAGCTTTTTGGGTGATCTTGCTCTTTCCTACCGCCATGTCAACAGGCTTGGCTCCTCAGAGCTCTCTTCCATGATGTCGGTGCAAAAATGAGGAGAGTCATAACTGAGTATCTCTGTGCTCTCTTTTATGGTTTAAGGTTCTCTAATAGATTGATGTATGTTATTTGATAAAAGCCTGCTTTTATAACGCCATCTTTGCCTTTCGGTAATTTCCACTTTTGCATCAAAGCTTCGAAGAATGTAAAAAAGTGAAATAAAACCGAAATCGCCAAGTACATCATAAAATTTCACTTAAACGTGCTTATACAACCCCATTTGGCCAGATGACGAAACACGTTTATAGGCTCTATCAGAGTTGTTGAATTAGCACCTTCTAAGTAAAGATACACATCCAAGCCGCCTTTTTATATGTGAAGTGCTTTCAGTTTTTTCTTGTGTTTCTTTTTTTCGTTAGGGTCTGGGGTCAACATACAGTGGAATATTGATTAGCGACTGTCTAGATGGAAAAATATAAAGGATCAGGGTCTATAAGCAGCACTGAAGATACTTAACTCCAATTTTTAGTTGATCCCATTTAAGTATTTTAAAAATCTGTTGTCTTTTAATAGCCGGATGTTCTTAATTTTGGCATTTTCTTAAAGTGATGCGGTCCGCTTCGCAACACTTCCTACTCCAAAAAGCAAAGTTGGAGCAAATCAATACACAATTATACTCGTAACGATTCTAAGACCTTTGGCCAAAATCAAGTGATGCTTATAAGCATATTCAAGTCTCCTACATATTTAAAAATGATATTTGCATGTCAAATTTATCCCTGTTTTCTAAAATGTGTAGTAAACCTCCCCTTCAAGCAGTAATAAATATTCAAATAGATATGCATCCCAAATCAAAGACCTGTATAATTTTATGCCTACCTGTGTGATACCTCCCTGCGATCGCTGCAGGAAACCTCAATAAAATATATTGATTTTATTTGAAAGTGTTCTTTAGACCGACATCACTTCGCAATTTATAAATTTATGCCTTGACCTACAATAGGGTAAGGTAGACACTTGACAACCTCAAAAATAACAATTTCCAAAACAGTTATCTTACAGCTATTTCTAGAAATCGACGAGTGACAAAGTTGTTTCCTTAAATTTCGGTTTGCACCCAGGTAAGTAATGATTTTGCTCGGCACGACCTTTTTTAGAGTTCTCAAAACGTTCTAACAAAAAATGTCGTCAAGTAAGTTGACTCTGTACTTCCCACGTTACTCTGTCAGCAGTTCGTAAAGTTAGCCCTTCTGAGATTAAATTTAGCCACGAACATGAATAACAAAAAATAAATGGACCTTGCGCCTCCCCCTGAGATAAATTGCTGCAGACGCACATGATCGTTGTGATGATCAGTACCGCGTGAGTGACGATATTGGCCTTCACCATCCACAGTACACGCAACCCACAGTAGTGTGGAAGCGATTGCCGACTGTAACGACAACGAGGCTTATCCATCGGAAGACCATTCGGCTATAGGAGGTATTTCCAAGTTTAAGAGGAAATGTATGATGAGTGAAATATGCCTAATGTGTGCGTAGAATTACAGGAGTTAGACGCGTATAAATATAATAATGTCAAAAAAATGAGATGTGCGAAACGTCCCTTGTAACGTTTCTCCAAAGTTGACCGTTTTCGAGTTATAAACGGTTTAACGTCTGAAAGACTCTAAAAATAGGCATTCTCGATGTTTCCAAGTATTTAAATTGCAGTTCAAACTTTAACCTACAAGATTACGAAAGTATTTGAGAATTTAGTCCATTTTAGAGCAATTTTTATTCTTGCTTGGTAAACTAAGACAATGCGAACTTCTGATTTTTACCGACTGTACATGAAAACAGCCCAAAGAGGCAAACGATAACGATGTAAAATAATGACGAGAGTGATAATGATCGAATGATCGCATGACAATTTCAGTGGTGATGAAAGTGTATCTGATATGCATTTGTTTAGATTTTTCTGGGAATTAATTCTATCTACCTCATGACTTTCCACAAAATGTCCATTTGTTGCATGTTAGGCGTGCAAGTTCAATGAGCTGTGCATACGACGTTGGGTATGAGAATAAGATCAGAAATACGTCTAGACGCTGGTTCACCAAAGTCAAAAATCCTGAAAATAGACCATCCGTTGGATTTAAACTGCATAGGTTAATGGATAGATACAAAAAAGTAAATAGAAGGCAGTGCCTGACAACATACTAGAAAGTAATTTCTGGCGCGATTACCGCGAGTTGAATTTGGATTCAAATTGGTAATTGTCAATTATTTTCATTAACCTAAGCATTCTTCATATGTTTTGGCTCAGGTCGTGAAACTTTTGGCATGAATAATACACAAAAAACGAGTACTAACAAGTGAATTATAAGTAGCATAATCGAATTTACATCCGTTAACATTTGGTGGTTATGTCATGGAACATGGAATATCTAACTAACCGTCTATTTTAAGTTTTTCTAAAAAGTACTATATATTAACAAAAGTTTCAATTCCAAACGTATGCTCAAAAGCACAATAAATTTCCGATTAAGCAGAAAATCAGGTCCAGCTATTGTTGCTGTTTTGTGTTGTTAATATGGAAGGAGGAACCCGATCCTTTTAAGCTTTGTAGTGAATATAGATGTACAGATCTCCGCATGAAAAACAGATCTAAAGGACGCACAATATTCCAAAAAACCAATTACAGAAAGCACAACTTACAAAGCCAAACCAATTCCAATTATTCTCTGCGGCTCAATGTTCCTGTCTTTTTCCTTTTACGAGAGTACAAATACAAGGGCATGAGCGTGCCTGGAGGGGTGGTCTGAGGAGCTTGGTCTCTAGAATACTACAAAATACTTACCAAATTATGGGTGAATTGGCCAATTTTTAGGTGACTTCTGAGGTTTCTTCTCGATTGCAAATATGCAAGATTTTCTTCTCTCTCTTCACCACAAAAACATAGTGATGGATCCTTCGAGTACTTGAAATTCCCGACAAGAACTCACTCCACTGTTGCAATGTCAAGGTGAGGCGTGGACTCGGTGACAAGTCTAGAAACAAATATAACAAAGCTGTTTGCAATGTAAAGATCAGCACGATGCAAAAATTGAGCACAAGGTAATTTCTCAACGGCTGTTGAACCTTCTGAATGCTGGCAAAGCAGGACGAAGAAAAATTCTTAGAGTGTAACTTCCTCCACGCACATCAGAGAATGGAACATTCACGTACAGGACCTAACGGGCACTCTTGTCGCTCGTCATAAACAAAGCACATGGACCTGACTTTATTCCTGCTACTATACCAAAGCGATGTGTAGCTTCAGTTTTTTCGCTTTTCTTCTAGATATCTTACAAGTCTGATATTTTTCCAAGGAACTGGAGTAAAGTCATCCAGTCATATGGTGAGGCTCATATCGTTGGTCTTGATATGACGAAAGCTCTTACATGAACTTCCATCCCTAATCGATGACTTTTCGCGGACAGTATCGGGAACCTGCGATCGGCGATATTGCTCTCTTCTATCGCTATGACCACGGGCTCTTCTCCGCAGAGATCTCCTCCGTGACGCCATTGGGCGTCTGCCTCCCATCCTAACTGTGTCGAACTTCGTAAAACCAGAATTGGCCAGAACGACCACTCTTTTGTTCCTAGGTTGTTGAGATTGTGGAAAGATCT